GATCTTGGGTTCATGTCGCACCACACAGTACACTGACACACATGCATGCATACGCGCGAGAGAAAGTGTGCACGCGTGTGTGAGCGTGTTTATGTGACAGTGTGTGTATGTATGCATGTGTGTCAGTGTACTGTGTGGTGCGACATGAACCCAAGATCCCTGTTGAGGCCATCCTCATGGGCACTGAACTCGGCTATCGGCCTCTCCTTGGTGACTGTGCATTGATGTGTATCCCAAAGTCCACCTTGGAGAACGTTTACCCAAAGATCCGAGCCCAAATGCCCTTGACCGTTGAAGTGGTCCCCCACTGGGAGAGAACATCCCCATTTGCCAATTGATACGCAGTGTCTATTCTTCTGTTGTTGTAGTGTCTACATGGTTTCGCCAACGTATCATGCCTCGGGGCATCCTTGCCAGCAGCTTATGTGATAGACAACGTTGGTCAAGTCACATGAGTATTTGCCATGCACGTGGTGGGTTGTGTTCCCACGTGTGATGGTAGCATCCATGTCGAAGATCTGACATGTCTTGCAGAGGTTGCCATGACACACTCCCCCACACATCGCGCGCACACACCGCACTCACGCTCTCCCACATGCACTCACTCACACACACACACGTGAATCTATGGGGTGAATGTCTATTTGCATATACATTCTATTTTGTTCAAAAAGCACACAATTTATTGACAATCAGTCAATTTGGCATTTTATAAATTTCTACTTTAGGAATGAAACCAGTCTGACTCGAAACCAAAACACAAACAGATTCTAAACAAGGCCTCACACCTAACATGCATTGTCTGATGTAAAATGTCACCTCTTCTTTACACTGATAAAACCTTTAGTTCTCTCAGGGCAGTGACCTGAAAGAAATTCAGGGATTTACATATACATATTAAACAATTAAAGCCTTCTAACTGATTAAAGATTTAATAGTATCTTAGGTTTGTTTAATATATCCTCATCAGTTGTGTGACCCTTTGGTCTTAACAGTTCTGTGTTCTGTGCGCTTCTTTCTCATTTCTGAAAGCTTGTAGTTTCAAATAAACCTGTCGGACTATAACCTAGTGTCGCATGATTTCTGACCTTGGATAGTGAGGAGGGAGGAGGTAAATGGGCAAGCATTTCACCTTCTGCGATTCCATGCTCAGGCGTTGTGGGGTGTAACGACTCCCTGTCTACTCTATCCAGCCTTCTTCTGATTTTGACAAGTTCTATCAGATCTCTTCTTAGCCTTCCCTTCTCCAAGGAGAACAGTCCTAACCTCCAGTCTACCCACATAACAGAACTTCCTCATCCTTGGATTCATTCTTGTAAATTTGTTTTGCATTTTCTTCAATGCATTCATGACCTGCCTATAGTGTGGCTGACAGACTGTATGCAACATGCCAGCTGAAGTCTAATTAGTGTCTTGTACAAGTTCAATGTAACTTCCTGTTCTTGTACTCTATGCCCCTACTAATAAAGCAGAAGTCACAGGACAGGTGGAAAAAACAGTAGAAGTTTTTTAAAACTTTATTACTGTTTTCTGTCACTTGGCCAATTCTGTATCCATGTTACTACTATCCTTTTTATTCCATGACCTATAACTTTAATCAAACATCATTTGTGTGACACTGTATCAAATGCCTTTTGAAATCCACATATATCATACCAACAACATGACTGTCACTGACTCTTTCTGTTACCTCTTTAAAATTCTCTACTAAGTTAGTTAAACATGATTACCCCTTTAGAAATTATGTTGACTCTTGTGAATAACCCATCTTATTTCATGTGACAACAAATTTTATTCTAAATAATCGTTTCTAGAAGTCTCCTCACCACGAAAACTAAACCAATTGCTGGGCTTATCCTTGCGACATTTTTTCGAATGAGAGTCTGATGTTTGCAATTCTCCAGTCTTCTGGCACCTTCCCTGAATCTAGGGAACACTGAAAGGTTGTGGCCAGTGCTCCTTCATTTCTAATCTCACTTCCCTTAATATCCTCAGGTGCATCCCATCTAGTCCCAGTGCCTTGTCAACTGTAATTGTTCCTACTTCAACTCCATGCCAACAATAACCGAATAAATCAGCATCCTCTTCTCATGCTGTATAAATTTATGTCCCCTTCTTCCCTCCAAGTGTATTTCTTGTGTTCTAGCCCCGATAAGTGCAAGATGTAAAGTTTTGACTTTGTGTCGTTTTTATCGCAATTCTTAAGAACATGCTTACAGCTGAATGGCTTTGCACTTTAATGTAAACCTAGGGGTCTTCCTGGCAATAAAATAAAACATCAGTTTGAAATTCTGAACATTTATTGAGAGATTCAGCCAGGAGATTCAGACAAGGTACAAACCTATCAAATGGCCAGATCTGTAACTATAACATGACAATTTCATGTGGGCAATGCAGATTACAAATGTGAACATGAGAATCTGCAATGTGAGAAACAGTGATGCAAACAGTAAAATATGAAATCAAGGAAATGGGCACAGATGTAAGCTTTTTAATCAGATACAGATGAATTTGGACCCAATAATACTTTTGAGTGGAAGGTTAGGGATTGTGGGTCTTTTGTGGGACAAAACAGGAAAAATAGAGTATAGCAAGAAGATGTGAAAAGACATGTAAAGATCTAAGTGGACAGAGATTCATACATGGTTACAGCACAGAAAGAGGCCATTCACTCTGACAAATCTGCATCAGATCTTTGTAAGAATAATTCAGCTAATTCTAGTCCCTTAACCTTTCCCATAACACTGAAATTTTTAAAAAACCTTTGGCACTTACTCAATTCTTCTGAAAACTACAACTGAATCTGTGACCTTCACTTGGTGAACTACTTGATGCATTTTTTTTCTTATGTTGTCTTTGAAGCTTTTGCTAATCAGCTAAAATCTATGTCCTCTGTTTCTTGGTTCCACCAAATGGAACCATCTCAATTTATCTATTCAATTTACTCTTATTTAAATACGACTCTCAAATCTCCCTTATATAACAACCTCAGCTTCTCTAATCTTGCCTTGTAACTAAGTCCTCCATTCCTGAAATAATTCTTGTAAAACATTTTTTGCATCTTTTCTAAAGCCTACACATTGTTCCTCAGTTTGGTGCCAGAATTCAATTCAGTTAAGGCTGAGCCAGTGTGTTATAAAGGATCATCACAACTTCCTTGCTTTTGCTTTCAGCCCCTATTTACAAGGCCCAGACTGTGTTTTCCAAATTAACAAGTATTTTTTGACAGTGGATTTTTTTTCCCTTGTGGAGGTGCTAGTCTCATGTCTAGTCATTTAGGTTAAGAAAAAATACCTAAAATGTTCCAACTCGGTTAATGTCAACACAATCTTTGTTGACATTGTCAAACAGCCTTTGGCAGATTGAACTAATTATGTATTGACAACAATAATATGGAAAGTAACTCCAGTGAGTACATATCATTTGAACCTGCTTGACTGCATCAATATCAATATTAAATAAATGGATTACCCGTCCTGCCAGGAGCCATTCCAACATCGTCTATCCCACATGTTTCTTATCTTCAGCAAATTGACATAGTTGCCATTGAGTCCATTAACTTGCTTCACATCAGTAACACTGAAGGCATGAAATTCTGCACGTTCACTGGATCCTGAATGACAAATTGTATAAAACATAAGAACACACTTAGTTTGAATATATTTAATCAAATATATTACTGATTGATCATAATCCATTTGCTGTTATGTTTCACATTTTGGGATTATTAACTTTACCTTTGGCTGATCCATGTACAGAGCAACTAATGAAACTTTTATCATTTAAGTCCTTCATCAACTCAAATTTTGATTTTTCAGAAAGACAGAAATGAGAATTCTTTTCATTGTTTTCTCTACAAGACCTCAGAGTCCATCTGTCAGCCAGGCCTCCTGTGATGTCCACTAGAGCTTCGCATACTTGTCCAGCCCATAACTTTTCATAGCAACCATGGAGCCTTTGAAAAATATATAATTATCTTTAATAATAGTCATAATGCTACACAATTCAAAATCATCTTACAGCTTAGTTGCTTTACATCTAAACACTAGTAAAAGTATTAAGTTACTTTCATATTATAGAGTCACAGAGTGATACAGCACAGAAATAGACCCCTCACTTCAACTCGTCAGTGCTGACCAGACATCCCAATCTGACCTAGTTCCATTTGCCAACTTTTGGCCCACAAGCCTCTAAACCATTCCTATTCATATACCCATCCGAATGCCTTTTAAATGTTGTAAATGTACCAGCCTCCACCATTTCCCCTGGCATCTAGTTTCATATACACACCACCCTCTGCATGAAAGAGTTACCCCTCAGGTCCTTTTTAAATCTTTCCCCTCTCACCTTAAACCTATGTCTCTAATTTTGGACTCCTCCACCCTAGAAATAAGACCTTCGGTATTCACTCTATCCATGCCCCTCATGATTTTACAGACCTCTATAAGGTCACCCCTAAGCTTCCGATGCTCCAGGGAAGCTCCAGTCTATTCAGCCTCTCCCTATAACTCAATCCTCCAGTTCCTGCAACATCCAAGGGCAAAGTTGGCAAATCTTTCAATTTAATGAAGTTCCTTCAATCAAAATACATATTTCTGAGACTATACCAACATAACAATGTGACAGCATTTATCTAAAATGCTTTGGTCCTGGACAATTGTGATCACAAAGCTTAATAAAACGTTTGAATTACTTTCTCCAACACTGACATATTTACATTTTAAAAAGGCAAATAAGAGTGAAACGATACAGTGATTCTTGTCATCTAGCTGATCATATGCAAAATTACAAAGTCACTAATAATCATCTGTATAAAACCATTGACGCCCTGACCAAATGGCAATTGGCAAGATCAACAGAAATTCAGCTGGCAGGCATAAACACCACTATTAGCGCATCCTCGCACTTGAATACCTTGGGCAGCCAGAATCTGACGTTTGCCCACTGTTGGACAGAGAAACTGACATCCCATCCCATTCATGACAATGAAGGAAAGCGTGCCAAATGCCTTTTTAACCATCCAGTCTGTACGTGATGCAAACTTTAAAGAATTATGTACCTACACCCCTGGGTCCCTCTGTTCTACAACACTATCCAAGGCCCTACCATTAATTGTATAAGCCCTACCCTTGTTTGTTGTACCAAAATGCAATACCTCACATTTATCCAGATTAAATTCCATCTGTCATTTTTCAGCCCATTGACCCATTTCATCAAGATCCCTTTGTAATCTTGGAAAACCTTCTTCACTGTCTACAATGCCACCAATTTTGGTGTCATCTGCAAACTTACTAACCATGCCTTCTATATTTTCATTCAAATCACTTATATAAATGACAAACAAAAGAGGACCCAGAACCAATCCCTGTGGAACAGTGCTGGTCACGGGCCTCCAGTCCGAAAGGCAACCCTCCACCATCACTGTCTGTCTCCTGCTGTTAAGCCAATTATGTATCCAATTGGTAAGCTCACCCTGAATCCCATGGTGACTTTCCACAAATTTGGACTCAGATTTCCATAGTGAGGATTAAATCAGCAAACTGAAACAACCATGAACAATGTGCTTTAAAAGGCACATCCAAAGACTAATTGAGGAACGGATGTTTTTTATCTTGCACTGACATAAACATAATGAAGGAGGTCAGCATTTTATAACTTGTATGCTTAGAAAAAAAATCTATACAGAATAGTAAATTGTTATGCAACTTTGAAAGCCTTTAATGCAACATAACAATGAGAGTTAAAATATCACATTGGAACTTTGCTGTTTGATCACTAAAATTTCCTTACTTGGCATACGCCTTTTCCAATAATGGTAACCAAAACACTTCTTCAGAGCGACAACGAGAAAAACAAAGCCTGCGACCAATACATGGTAATCGATCATCTATTATGACTTCAACCCACTGTCCAAACTTCCAAAATCTGCACTTTAAACATCCAGATTGTCTCCACAAGTCCTGGTCTGGAGGTATTACCTGGATTAAATGGCAAACAAGTTAAGGTGTAGATTGATTAACAGGATTTTGATTTGAACTATAACAATATTGACTACATTATACAGGCAGTCCCTGGAGTCCGCTCATAAGTAATTTTTAAGTCAGACACAATGTAGGACAATATAAAAGAGCCTTTTACAAGTACAGAAAATGTTTGTATGTTGGATCTTTAAAATTATACCCACTGTTTGAGATTGCGGTTGTAAGTTGGCTGTCTGTAAATTGGGATCCCCCATACTAATAAAGGATTTGGGTAGTCTTTTAATGGTTAGGTAAATCCAATTGTACATTTGTTGATGCTGTCAGTCTTTCCTTATCCACCAGATTTCTCACTTTGTTACTAAATTTTACTTCTCCACTGAAAGAATTTAACAGTTCTCGATAGTAGAATTTTTTGCCATTAAACTACTTATTAGAGGCAGCCTGTCAGCAAAAATATTGCATAGAATGACCCTATTATACGACGTTATAAAGTTTTTCTTCAGTGGTTTACAGGTAAAGAATGTTTCCTGCATTCCATTCGTCTTATTAGTATCACTAAAACCAAACTCCACGTCATATGAAATCTCAAAATGTCTGCTTCCTAACTGCAGCTAGCCAGGTCCCAGGCCATACATCAGGCTTACAGACAACAACCAGGACATTGCACTATTTCATCACATCCTGATACCACGTCATGCCAACCAAAATTAAAAAGATGCCAGCAATGTATGTTACATATGCTATTTTCATAAGCAGCAATTATTTTCTCTAACTACAGTAAAACTTGGGCTGACTGATGACACTCCAGGATTATTTTTCAGCATTAAACATTCAGAAAATGTCAGCCCCTATGCAAACTAGGGCCTGATGAAAAAATGCAGCAGCTTCCAAAACTGCAAGGGAGGAACTGCAAATTCTCATTGTACAGCTGATTTGGCTGGCCACCCAAATGAGGTCAGAGATAACAAGGTGTAGAGCTGGATGAACACAGCAGGCCAAGCAGCATCAGAGGAGCAGGAAGGCTGATGTTTCGGGCCTAGACCCTTCTTCAGAGAA